GCATACACTCTTGTTAAATTCTTATCTCTGCCTTCATTTGTGTTGATATTATACATGCAGATCAATTACAGCACACACTATAGTTAATGAGACTAATGGTTATGTGAATACAGTTCTCAAAGAACCAAAACAGCCTTCAGTCTAATCTGTGCTGTTACGGATTGAATTGTATTCCTCCCCAAAATACGTGTTGGGATCTCAGCCTCTCTCAGTGTGGATGTATTCACGTTTGGGAATAGTGTTTTCTGTGAGGTGAGTGAGCCATACCCGTGTAGGATGTATCATAAACCTACTCACTCGTCAGTTATCAAAAGAACAGATTAGAAACAGGAGCAAGCACAAGAGAACGAAAGACAGATACCACATGAAGATCCCCAAGGGACCAGAGAATACTGCAAGAGACAAAGAATCCTCCTCCCCGCTCCTCACCCTAACGCTCCCCACAGCTGATAGAAGGGGCTTTCCCCTAGACTCTGTGCTCTGAGTTCCCACTCCCAGCCTTCTGAACTGTGAGAACAGAAATCTCTCTTCAAAGCCACCTATTTGTGGTGTTCCGGTGGCACTACAGGATAATGTGCTTGACCACATGGTCAGTTCGGGCCACAGGGGTAGCAGTTGAAACCCAACAGCCATGCCTTGGAACCAACTAGATGGCACTTAACAACAGGAAACTAATACATACAGGAAAGAAGCATCCTCTCTTCTCTATCAGTTATGAGCACTGTTTTCAGAAGCTCTCTCTTTGTTGATGGGCACCCTGGTAGTGCAGTGGGTTAAGCATTGGGCTGCTAACCAGTGATTCCATGGGCGAAAGATACACCAGTGATTCCATGGGTGAAAGATAAAGCTGGTTGCTCCTATAAAGATATAGGTCTCAGAAACCCTACGGGGCAGTTCTACTCTGTCGTATAGGGTCACCATAAGCTGGAATTGAGTCCACAGCAGCGGGTCTGGTGTTTGGTTGTCTCTTTGTTAACTTTCTCGCAGTGTGCAGCACTGCCTTATGAACTGACAGTTTAGTGTACAGATTACCTAGATACTTCTCTATTTGTTGTTGTTGTGAAGTGCTGTCAAGTCGATTCCGACCCATAGCGACCCTGTGTAGGGTTTCCAAGGAGCAGCTGGTGAGCTTGAACCACTGACCTTGCAGTTCAAATGACCTTGCAGTCTGATGCATTAGTCCACAGCGCCACACCAGGACTCCCTATAGCTTCTTACTATTTGTTTATTAAAATTTTATGACACTGTGTGTCAGACGTGTACTAAGCTCAGCATATATATATGTTGGTGACACAAAGAGACTGGTCTCTGGCTTTGTTGAACTTATACAGTGAACATATGAGATAGAAAATTAGCAAACAGACCTCGAAATGAAAATGTAATTATAATGTCCATGCCAATAAAAGCCATGAAAATGGCCGAGTGGTAGAAACTCACAGGATGGTGACACATCAGAAGAGTTGGAATGACATAAAGATTACGACATTTAAGCTGAGATTAAAGGACAAGAAGGAGGCAATAGCAGGGTTCTTCTGTTTTTGTTTTTAAGGTTACTCAGCAACTATACACCACTGTCTTGCAAGATGGTCTATAAGATTACTTTCCTTGAAACAGCACTTTCCTTGGGTTCACTTTAACTTCCTATTTCCCCTTCTGAATTAAATTGTAAACCTTTATCCTTATTGTTATTGTTGTTAATTGCCATCAAGTCAGTTCCAACTCATAGCGACCTTATGTAGGGTTTCCAAGGAGCGGCTAGTGAATTTGAACCGGCAAACTTGCACTTCAAACAACCATGAGTTTGAGTGCTTATCCTATGGTGCCACACCAGGACTCTACCTTTATTTATTTTTTAATAATGTATATATTTTAAGCTTTAATTTTTTAAAAAATTTTTGCTGTTGTTGAGAATATACACAGTAAAACATTTACCACTTCTAGTTTCTACATGTACCACTTAGTGGCATTAATTAATAATATTCTTTGCCTTTTGCAACCATCCCCACCCTCTTTTTCTGAGTTGTTCCTCCCCAGTAAACATAAAGTTATTGCCCTTTAAGATTCCTTGCTAATATTTCAAGTTACTGTTGGCAATCTGATCCCAATAGAAAGTTCTTAAAAGAGTTTAATACTCAAGATGGACATTTTTGACTGGTCATGTTTAAGAAGAATTCAGGGGAGAGTTTTGCTTTAAGGTTTAAAGATTATTTCAGGGCAATTGTTTCAGGAGTTCATCTAACCTTCATGGGTGAGTTCATGAAGGTTAGACTTCATGGTTACTTCTAAACTTCAGGAAGTCCCTGAGAATCTGAAATTCTGTTCTGCATTTTCCCACTTTTGTTCAGGATTCATCACAGAATCTTCTATCCAAATGTTTAGTAATGGTAACTGGGCATCTTCCAGTTCTTGTCTGATGGAAAAGGAAATAGTTGTTTATGGTGGCAATTAGCCACACATTCTACGTTCTCCTCCTGCTCCTGACTCTCCTTCTTCCTCTGTTGCTCCAGGTGGATACAGACCAATTGTTGTGCCCTGGAAGGCCACTTGCAAGAGTTTAAGGCCACAGGCACCACCCAGTGAACTAGGAAGTAGAACAGAAGCACTAACCATGTTAATGAGTCAATTACCTGGGAAGTCCCATGACCCTAAACTTCCAAACCAAGGAGCCAAATCCCATGAAATATTTAGCTGTACATAAGCAGCTTTAGCAGCACTCTTTCTTTTAATTTTTGTCACCGTTGTAAATGTATTTATCATACAACATTTACCAATTCAACCTTTTATAGGTGTACAACTTATTGAGAGCAATTGCCATAATCATTGTGGCAGCCCTACCTTAATCAATGCAATTATTCCATCACTGTCACATCATTTTCCCTGTCTCTCCTGCCCCAGGTCACCACTAATAACCTTTGTTCTTTATACATTGGCCTTTTCATATAAGTGAGGTCCTTTTAGAGACCTCACTTATATCAAAATGCAATACAGTATTTGTCATTTTATGATTAACTTATTTCTCATTTTAAGATTAACTTATTGCACTCAGCATAATGTCTCCCAGCTCCATGCATCAATACTTCATTTCTCCTACTAGCTAAGTAGTATTCCACTGTATGTATGTACCATATTTTGTTAAGTTGTTTACCTGTTCATGACTATTGAGGCTGTTTTCACCTTTTGGCTACTGTGAAAAGTACTACAATGAACACTGGTGTACAAGTCTTCAGTCCAGTCTATATTTTGAGGGTATACCTAGGAGTGGAACTGCTGGGTCATAGTGTAGTTAGCTAGTTTTTTGTTGTTGTTGTTTTTTTGTTTTTTTTGTTTTTTTTTATGTAGAACCACCATATTGTTACCTACAATGGTTGTATTATTTTGCATTCCCACCAGTTATGAATAAAGGTTCCAATTTCCCTAGCTCCTCACCAATATTTGTTAGTTCCTGGTAATTTTTAGTGTCGGTTTTTATCTTAGCCATCCTGTTATTGTTACTGTTAGGTGCCACTAAGTTACTTCCAACTCAGAGAACTTAGAACGTACAACAGAACGAAGCACTACCCACTCCTGTGCCATCCGCACAGTTGTTTGCGCCCACTGTTGCTGCCACTGTGTCAGTCTGTCTCATTGAGGAGCTTCCTCTTTTTCACTCACTGTCCACTTAAAATGTTACCCATAGTTGATCCACACAGTCAAATGCCTTTGTATAGTCAGTAAAGCACAAGTAAACATCTTTCTGGTATTCTTTGCTTTCAGTCAAGATCCATCTGATGTCAGCAATGATATTCCTAGTTCCATATCTTCTTCTGAATCTCCTTGAATTTCTGACAGTCAATGTACTGCTTCAGCCCTTTCTTTCTGAATTATCTTCAGAAAAATTTTACCTGAGTTTCTTTCCACTTATTTAAGTCTTATTTAATCTCTAACAGCAATGTTTTATAGCTTTCACTGTCCTTCACATCCCTGGTTAAATTGATTCCAGTCATTCGATTCTTAGATGTTATTGTGACTGGAATTGTTTCTTTAATTTCTCTTTCTGATTATTGTTGTGAAGTGCTATCGAGTCGGTTCCGACCCATAGTGACCCTGCATAGGGTTTCCATGGAGCAGCTGGTGAGCTTGAACTGCCAACCTTGCAGTTCAAATGGCTTTGCAGTCTGGCACCTTAAGTCACAGAGCCACACCAGGATTACTCACTGTTGTATAGACTCCCAACTGAGTTTTTTTGTTCTTGTTGACTTTGTACTCTGCAACTTCACTAAATTCCTTTATTAGTTCTAGAAGTTTTCTAATGAACTCAGGGATATTCTATACAAAGAATCATATCATCTGTGAATAGAGATAACTGTACTTTTTTTCCCCATATGAAGATCTTTTATTTCTTCTTGTCTTATTGCTCGTGCTAGGATTTCCAATACAATATTGAGTGGACGTGGTGAGAATGGGGACCCTTGTCTTGGGCCTGATTTCAGGGGAAAGCTCTTCATCTTTTTTCATTAAGTACAGTGTTGGCGGTTGACTTTTTATATATGCCCTGAATCATACTGAGGAATTTACCTACTATTCCAATCTTCTTTAGGATTGTCATGAAGAAAAAGTGTTTTGGATTTTATCAAAGTTTTCTGTATCCATAGAGATGATCATGTGGTTCTTTTCCTCTGTCCTATTGATGTTCTGTGTTATGTTGACTAACTCTCTAACACTGAAGTATTCCTGCATTTCTGTAATAAATCCCATTTGGTCATGGTGTATGACTCTTCACATACTGCTGGGTTACATTTGTTAGTATTTCTTTAGGATTTCTGCGTATATATTCATAAGAGACATTGGCCCCTAGCTTTTTCTTTCTTGGGCTGTCTTTGTCTGGTTTAGGTATCAGGATTATGCTTGCTTCACAGAATGAATTATTTATTCTATTTTCAAATGCCCTCATAATCTAACCCTCACATGCCGTGCCACCACCAATTTGTACATCATGGTCTCATAGATGATCCTTAGATTACCTGGGAAAGAATCAGCTGTCCATGAAATTTGTGCACAAATTTTCTTAAAAATGAAAAATAGGTTTCATCTCCAAATCTCTTGGCAAGGAACCGAAGAAGGAAGTAGCCCTATAAGAAAGAGAGAAAAAAAAGATGGTTATCATGGCTGCATCAGAAAATGCTTACCCAATAAACTCAAACTTCCCTACCACACATGATCTGCTTCTGTTGTTGTTGCTGTTGTTAGTGTTGTCAAGTCAGTTCTGCTTCATAGCAATCCTGTGTAGGATTTTCAAGGAGCAGCTGGTAGGTTTGAACCACTGACCTTGGTGTTCACAGTCCAGTGCTTGTCCTATTTGCTTCAAAAGTGGCCTGTCTCACTTGTCCCCGGCTGCCCTTGACACTCTTACTAGTAAAGCTGGTCCTGGAAAGTAAGGATTGACTATTCTGCCTTCAACGCATTTGTTAATGTCAGCACCATCTCTGGTTTTACTGGTTATATGACATCAGGCACAAAAAGGAAAGGGAGGCCCAGAGTCTCTCTACCTGGGCCTTTGCCACTTACAGTGCTTCCCAGTTATTCCAGTCTGGTAGTTGTTGTTGTTAGGTGCCACTGAATCAACTTCGACTCATAGCGACCCTGAACAAGGCTTCCAATGAATGGTTTGTAGGTTTGATCTGCCAATCTTGAGATTAGCAGTCCAGTGCTTATCCTTCAGCACCACAGCAGGACTCCATCTTTTAGTTGGATCCGTAAAAAACAACATTAACAACAAAAGTAAAAACAAATAAAAAACAATGGCTGTGTCCTTTGGGAGATCTAACAAGGGTACCCTTTGGAATCTCAGAAAAGTCACCATAACATTCTGAGCCAAGCTCTCTGCCTTGACGTTCTATGGCTCAGCAGAATTTAACTTGGAAGCCATAGTTTGACTAGACATATTTTTTGAAGGCATCCTAATGAGACTAAGACAAATGTACCACTGAAAGAATTTGTCTGCGGCCATCCACTGATCACAGAGACACATTTAAATATTTTGTTTGGAATGTGTGAACTACATACATGTTTAGAATATATGAACTACAACTCTAGTGATGGTGGTGGTGGTTCCGACTCATAGTGATCCTATATAGGATTTCCAAGGCTGTAAATCTTTAGGGAAGCAGAGAGCCTCATCTTTTTCCCATGGAACGGCTGGTAGTTTCAAACTACTAACCTTGAGGTTAGCAGCCCAGCTTGTAACCATTACACTACCAGAGCTCCTTAAAACTCTAGTTGTAATGCTTTTTTGTACTCATCCTCATACCCTAAAAAGGGCTACAGAACCTAAAACTTCTGCTACTTTGATTTGCTTACCTTTAAATAATGAACCTGCAGGAAAGCCTTCTCTGGGTTGAGCCCATGTTTGACGACAGATGCTCCCAAGTCAGTCGTGTGCCCCGTCTTCTCTTTGTTAGGTCTAAAATGGTAGAGTAACATTTTCTTTATATAGCACATACTTAACGAGTTAGACCATAATATCATCATATTTCTTATGTTCAAGGGTTGCTCAACAGTGCTTTAATTCTATTCAGTACCGGGTATAATTTAAAGCAGTTTATTTTATAAATTCATAATCTCAACAAGGAGGGATTTATGTTTGGGTTGGCAACCTGGGGTTGGCTACTGGCAATATTTTACATCAGTTTATCCAATGCTAAAGCTTGCCAGGCCCTCAAGGAATCTGAGCTCCAATATGAATTATTTAAGAATCTGTAACTTTTTTTTTTCTTTAATGGGACTGAGGGATTGGGAAAGCACTGGAAAATGTAGAGTTAGTTGGAAGAATAAGGAACTTACATCTTTAAAATAAATGTTTTAAAGTCTTAATGTTATCCATTTGTCTTTATTCAAACTTAATAATTAAGGCTCCTTTAAGAATAAGTTTTACCCTGAAGCCATTTTAGAATTACAAAGATTATTGAATATACTGTGGATTGCCAAGGAATGAACAAATCAGTCTTTGACGAAATGTAACCAGTATTTCCTTAGATTTGAGAATGGCGAGACGTGAACTTGTTCACTTTGGACACGTTGTCAGGAAGGACCAATTACTGGAAAGGACATCGTGTCTAGTAAAAGGGAAGTGGGCAAATATGAGGTAGACCCTCCAAAACCAGGCCTGACAGAACCACAACAGTGGACTCCAATGCAGCAATGATTCTGAGATGGCACAGGACTAGACAATGCTATGTTCTGCTGTTTGACTGTTCATCTCGTATCAGAGCTGACTCCAGAGCAACCAACAAGTATGGTGTAGCACAAGGTACATGGTATCTGGAACCCAACACCCCTGGTTTTGAATCATAACCCTGCTTTTTACTTGCTGTTACTTAAATTCTCTCTCAATTTATTCACTTGTAAAGATGTGAATAATCTTATTTAGCTTCCCAAGTTCTATGAGGAACAATGAATAAAATATATGCAAATCCCCAGCAAAGATCATGGTGTATAGGAGTTTCTCAATACGCTTGGACTATTTGAATTTTGTAGCAATAGATACTGCTGAATCCAAGGCGTCTCATCTGATGTTAGAGGCAATGGTTTTAGGTGGTTCATTCACACCATTCCCATGACCAGAGCCTCAAATGTGTAAGGATGCTGGACTTGAAGTAAAGTGCCTGAGAATGAACTAACTTTCCAAATCAGTCCCTTTGCAGTGTGCTCTAGCTGCCAAGCACAAACCACTTATTAATCTCAGCAGAATGTTTCAGGACATCACTCCAGCAGACTCAAGGCACAGAAGAAGCAGATAGCACAGGCTAGTCACTAAAGGGAACTGCATAGTTTTCATTTCCTGCCTGATCTCCAGTTTACCTGATGGAAGAACTCTTGCCTTCTCTCTTCATTTCAGATGCCATTGAAAGCATTAGCTTTACTCCCTGCTCTCAGGGTGGTCATGGGGTGAGCGTTTTCATTATGGGAGCCCCACTGGCTTTGATAGGAATCCCCATACCTGGGTGGGGGGAGGCTTCTTAGAGCATCCTCAATGAGAATCAGTTGCCTCAGTCTCTGGTGAGAAAGTGTAGTTTTGAGTTTTCTGGCTAGAAAAGGGGATGGACCCCCAAGAACCACTTAGACCTCTTTGAAGGCTGTTTTTCCGGGTTCCCATTCCTAAGAGGGCAAGAGTTGTTTTTGTCCACCCACCTCCAGCTCCTGCCTAAAAATGTCCTTTCAGAAAATCTCCCTCTCTTGCTCTCTTTGTCTACCGGCTCTAAATGAAGAGTGCTCAAGAGAATTCTTTTAAGTGGATAGCATCCAAGGCAAACATACAAGTCCCCACGAGATTCCTTTTAAAAGTACTGTGTGCCAGGGTGAGCAATGCTCAGGCAAGTTTCCCATGGAACCAAAGGGGTGACTTTTATGAGGAAAAGTCTTGAGTGACAAAACGGCAAGTTCCCTTTTGGTGCTACTCCGCTTCTCATAATGACATTTATCTCAGATCTGTGCAGACAAAGTGCAGAGAGCACGCTGGAGACAAAACAACTGATGACTCCATGCACTAGCATAGATGAATCTCAGTGCTGAGTGAAAGAAGCCAGACATAGACATACAAATAAACAATTCCCTTTAGATGAAGTCCAAGAAGGGGTAAAGCCAACCTGTGATGAGAAAAATGAGATGGTACTGACAAAGGAGGGAAGGTGGGATGCTGGGAATGTTCTACGTACTGACCTGCCTTTATGTTCATGGTACTTCCATGAACATAAAGAATAAAAATCCACAGAGTCACCTAGTTATGATCTGCGCACTTTGGTATATGTTTGCTCTATTCCAATAAAAACATTAAAGGGGAAAAGTGGATGTACATAAAACAGTACACATTTTGTGAGGATAAAAGTGTGTCATTTTAGAAAATGGGCTGTTCTGTTTGTGTGCTCTGGTCTGGGGACTGACCTCCAACGTACTGAAGACCAGAGAAATATTTTCAAAATGGCATGGTGGCGGCGAATACGTCTGGCGTAACCACCTTCATTCTGCCCATCTTCTTCTTTGCTGACCTTACAACTAAATCTGAAAAGCGAACTGTTCACTTGTGTTGTCTGTAGCCTGGAGACACTGTCCTGGCCAATGAGTTAAAAAGCACAAATGTTTGCTGTGGTTGGGCAAAGGGTCCTGGGAAGGTTTCTGCTTTCCTTATGAAAGGGAAAAACATGACTTGTACTAAGATGATCCAGTATGGTGGCTGGAGCTGTCACAGCCCTTTTGCAACCATGAGGCAGCAAACCAATATGCCATTGTTGTGCAGCGTGGAATGAAAGGAGGTGAGAAGTCTCTGATGACAACATTCAGCTGCTGATCAGTCCAGGACTGCCTACCTTCAGACTCCTTATTGTGTAAGAATAAGACTAATAGTTTTAATCATCTGTTAATTGTAGCCAAAGCCATTCCTAATGGGGAATTTGTGTAACACTAGGAGTCCTGGTGTGGCGCTGTGGGTTAATGCGCCAGACTGCAAAGCCGTTTGAACTGCAAGCTTGGTGGTTCAAGCTCACCAGTCGTTCCTCGGAAACCCTATGCAGGGTCGCTATGGGTCGGAACCGACTCGATGGCACTTCACAACAACAACAACTGAACTAAGATAGCATTTCCTAATCATCCTTTTGTGTCAGTCCTTTGCTGAGTTCTTCTCAGGTGCTATGATTCTGTCCTTTAAAACAGGAAGAAAGTGAGGTTTGAGATAACAAGGCTGGTTAGTGGCAGAGTCATGGCTGGGACAGACTGTCAGAGTCACCCAGGGGCCACAGAACACCAAGTTCTTGCTGCTCTCTGGGGCTTCTCATAGATCCGGGCTCTCATTCTGACTGTACCAAATACGATGTGGAGGACCTCACACAACGTGCTTCCTTTCCTGAAGTGCAGTTTCCTCACCTGGGAAAACTACAAGGAGGCTCAGAGGATGTGACAGCATATCCTCAATGCAAAAGTGCTAAGCATCTCTTAGACATCTTGTTGTTAGGTGCTGTTGAGTCAGTTCCAACACACAGTGACCCTGCATACAATAGAATCAAATGTGGATCAGTCCTGCATCCTCCTTCAGTTGCTGCTACACTTGAGACCACTGCTGCTGCCACTGTGCCAATCCATCTCATTGGGGGGGGTCTTCCTCTAAGACATTATACTCCAACATTTATTTCCTTGCCTGGAATACATGGAATGCAAGAGATCAAGTCACTAAGGTCATTTGGGTGCAAATGCCCTCGGCTTCCATTGTAACTGGCACCAAATGTAACAACTGAGATGTTCATGACCTTTCTCACCCCACCTCCCTGCTTTTCCAATCACAGCAACACTATGGATATTTCAAGAGCTGTCAGATGGCAGTGATACGTGATACACGATACACAGTGATTCAGACCTTCTGAAGAAATGGCCAGTTCGGCAGAGCTGTCACCACGGGTGTGACTTGAGAGATGCCCCTGAATGGTGCTAAGGCATGTCAGCTTGGCCAGAGCCCGAGGCGGGCCACCTGCCAGAGTTCTCTCTCTGTACTCTCTGGCACTAAAGATGAGCACCATGAACTCACTACTGTGGTTCTTAAGCCAGGGACTACGCATGGCAAGAATGAGACAGAGGGGGGTTACTCAGTATTTCAACATCTGGATCTGCCAGGTCCAGGTGCCCCACAAGGTGTGAGGGTCTTCAGGATAGGGTCTCATTCATATACAGGTTCTGACTCATAGCCACCTTGTATAGGGTTTCTGAGGAGTAGCTGGTGGGTTTGAACCACTGACAGAGGACAGTGCTTATCCTACAGTGCCACACATTCTTGTGTAGGAATGGGCCTTGCATGGCCAACCTGGACCCCACCTGCACAAATGAGTCCTGGTTGAGAATTTGGGTATGAAGTTGACTGCTACTTAGCACTCTGTGAGGTGGCTGTGGAAAGGGGGGAAATGAGAGTGACGGCGGCACCTCATCAAGCTGTTGTGATGTTTCAGACTGCTCAGCCAGAGCTCCCGCAGGCATTTAGAAAGCACAATAAAGATGTTGCTATTATTATCATAATGGATTCTGACTGGGGTTCAGGTAGTGTCAGCTAACCCTTCCTTGGCAGGCAAAGACATTAAAAAGACATTATACTGTAGTTATGTAAGGTGCTGCTCTCACTGGGGGAAGGGTACACAGGATCTACAATTCTGCTAACTTCTTGATGATACTCAGTGTGAGAACTGAGTGTCGTCCCTCAGACCCCCTCCTCTCACACAGAACCCTTAAGTTTTATTACCAATTTTCATCACAGAATAGTATGTGATAAATGCACTTTCAAATTGCTTAGATATAATATTTCTTCAAGTATATGAATACTAACAACAAAATTGTTCTGTAAAATCTTTCTACATTGAACTGCAACATCACTAGTTACATTATTAGTAACTGAGCAGAAGGCTCTTTTTTATTTTTCTCCTCTTTTTGCCT